ATAACATTGGCAAAGATTTTAAATATTTATAAAATCCATTATCTGTACGGTTGTGGGAACGTTGGCAATCTCATTTGTTGCCATGAAGGATAAAATTGTTAACCACATTTTAAAGGAAAAATTTGCAATAATTTTCAGAATTTGAAATGTGTATATTCTTAATCCCAGTCATTCAACTACTTAGTAATTTTATTATGATATAATAAACAAAAGCAAGATTGTTGATATATAGGGAGGTTCATTGCACAGAAATTTGGTGCTAACATAAATATCTATGAATGAGAAATGCTTAAAACATTTAATTATATTTCATCTACAAAACAGTCATGCAGTCATTCAACAAATGGCACAGATATGTATGTATTACTGAAGTAGAAAAAGCCCATTGAAAAGACTATTAAATGAAAGAGGCAATTTGCAGGAGAATGTATTACAATATGTCCCACTTCTAGACCCCCTCCCCAAAATAGGTTTTGTGTTTGTGCACATCTATCCTCTAAAAGAATGCACATACCTCCCTTAATAGAAGAAAACTATAAGGGTGGCATTAATGAGAGGAGGGCACTTAATTTATATATTAATTATTTAAATGTCGAGTTTTTAAAAAATATCATGCAGAGTTTCTTTTGACTGTATCCTATTTTCAAAAATTTATCACATGGCAAAGGAAAATTATAAGTGTATCTTTATGGGAGCACTGAGCAATTCCATCATTTTGAGCTTCTTGTGTAATATTATTTCCTCTAGTGAGGCTCCTGGGTTTGAGTCAAGTGGCAGCAAGGGAAACAGTCACCATGCCCAAATTAAAGTCTCATCGATGATATCCCAACATGAGCATTTCTCAGTTAAGCATTTCTTATCTGCAGGAGGTATCCACTGCCACACAGGAAAGAGAAGTGACTGTGCATAAGGAAGACTATATCATTGTTTTGGTGAAGCTGGTGGTAGAAGTAATGGCACCAACTCTAACAAATATACCTTGTCTTTGGGGTCATCACCTACAAAGACACAGAGAGAAAAAATGACAGAGGTTAGAAACACATGCCCTAAGGAGGCAGGGGGTCATGAAATTCTTACTATTCCCATACATGTGATGGAACAAATCTATGTAGAGTACAAAGAGAAAGCCACATTTCTAGMAGCTGGATCCACACTATAGCTACAAAAATCACTTTATAACTTCCTAACATAAAGAATGCCAAGTACTATTGTATTGCATTTTCTCCTTTTGATGGACTAAAAAGTTATGGACATTCTTCAGCAACTTCAAATTTTGTGTCTGTCTCTTCCCTGCTGTTMTTGGCTCCTTAAAGCTCATTCATTTGATCAATTATTTCAGACAAAACTATTTGTCAACTTTCTGGTCGGAGTCACTGAGAATATACTGTATCTCATGAATACAATTTTATAGCAATACAATGGATCCAGCCATAAAAAAGTGCTGTCAACTGGATGAGAGAAGAAAAGTTATAAGGAAATCCTTCATGTTGGAATGTAGAAAAGCTATACACAAAAGCTCTGACATTTAACCCACTGTGCTATGTGGCCATTGGAATCCATTAAAATGTACTCAAATCATCAGACTGCAAGAAATTAACATATCATTTTCTACCCAGACATGGCTTCTAGAAAGCAAGGACTATTCTAACTAACAACCTTACCTTCAGAGTGTGTCTCTTGCAAAATATTCAGGTGAAGAGCTCTTTGTTGGAGGAGCCTTCTTTTGGAAATTTAATGGTGCCATTCACTCCCAGAAGAATTCCCAAAAAAGTTCTCTTCTGAGGTGATAAATAAATAAATAAATAAATAAATAAATAAATAAATAAGCAAGCAAACAAACAAACAAAAAACTCTATTTCCAGTGAAGCAGGTAATGCAGTGAGAGTCTGGGAAATTTGCTGTTTATTTCTTTTTAATATTGATTTCATTTGGAAACTGCTCCTTATTTACACAGCTCTGAAACCATAACCAGATGTTCCATGTCTCTATATGTTTTAGGATCAAAACATTGTATCTTTCAGATTTTTAAAACTGAATGAATCACCTGAGTCCCACTGAAAATAGTGTCTTTTGCTTTCTTAAAAATCATCTTTCACTGATTTGTTGGAAAGATTATTCCCCAAATCACTCAAAACAGGGTACAAATATATCTATTCTCACCAAAAGTTACTGAGAATTTATTGTATAAAAGGCAATACACAAGGTGGCTTTGTCACAAAAAATAAACTGAAAGTTATCTGACCACAGGAAATCAAAAGTACATTGGATGAATCTATCATGCCAATAAAGAGCTAAAATGTAATAGTCTGATAAAGGTAATTCAGCTGAGGGTAGGATTATTGAGGAGAGACCTCCAGTTCAAGAAAACCTGTTATGATCACATAGCTATAACTCCTCTGTACTGTAACCATACTCATCTGGTTTTTGGATGAGTTCTAATCCCTTTTGGCTGCAACCAAATACAATCAAACCTAAGAAGAAGATATATTAATTCAAACCCATTCCAGGCTGCTTTCTTATAAACATGAAATTCCCTGCCCATATAGTTATTATACCTGTGAGGGTGTCCAAGAGTCCATAGGTAGGAATGGAGACCTTGGAAGTAAGTTGTCAGCTCATACTCTGAAAATGACATTTAAGAATTAAGAAGACAGGCATGAACAACTGCCCTTCCATTTTGGGGTTTATGGTCACCTAACAGAGAAAAGAAAAAAAAAAGAGGAAAAATAACATCTTAATACAAAAATATGCATGCATACAGATGTGTCTATATGTACACAGGGCACACACAATCTAACAATAAAACAAAAATATGCATGCATACAGATGTGCCTATATGTACATAGGGCACACAGAATCTAACAATAAAACAGTTATGAAGTGTGAGTATGCTATGCTATGCACAGACTGGGAACGGTGGATATTACTAAGTCCTCTGTGTGTCACATGCACAAATATGAACCACTCTCCCTTTTCCCATAAGGTCCAAAGGACAGAGAACAGTTCAGTAATAATTATGTTTTTGAAATAAAATATTCATGTTCTATTAAGACTGTTATAAATTTTTTTTAAATACTACTATAAAAATTAACAATCCCAGTGACTTGGGAGGCTGAGGCAGGAGGATCACAAGTTCAAGGCCAGCCTTAGCAACTTAGTGAGACCATCAGCAACTTAGTGAGACCCTGTCTCAAAATAAAACATAAAAAGGGCTGGGTTCATGGCTTAGTGGTTAAGTGTCCATGGGTTCAATCCTTAGTACCAATTAATAAATAAGTTAGTTTTTAAAAAAGCAACAAAACCATAATCTCTTCATTTCCATTCCATAAAGCCTAAGGACAAGTTCTAACAATTTCACTGGCAAACTAAATCTATTCTAACTTACCAATTTTCACAAGACCATCTTTATAGAAAAATGCACATGCCAATAATATCTGAATATCTAGAAAGGTTGTATTCAACTAAATTATGCTAAACATTTTTTAAAAAGTAGTCTAAAATTTGCCCCAAAGTAACAATCTAGTGAAAGGGTGCATTCAAGTGCAATAAGCAAGTGTCCTAATCATTTTTCATTTAAAAGATATCCATAAACAATGTTTATCTATAATTTTGAAAAAGCATATAAAATCAACTTTTAAGAAATTTGTTCTAATTAGTTATAAATGACAGTAGAATGCATTTTGACACATCATACATTGAATGGAGTATAATTTCTCACTTCTGGTTGTACATGATGTAGAATCACACCAGTCATGTAGTCATATATGTACATAGGATTGTAATGTCAGATTCATTCTACTATCCTTCCTACCCCCATACCCCTCCCCTCCCTTCACTCCCCTCTACCTAATCCAAAGTAACTCTATTCTTCCTTAGCCCCACGCTCTTTATTGTGAATTAGCATCCATTTATCAGAGAAAACATTCAGCTTTTGTTTTTTGAAGATTGGCTTCTTTCACTTAGCATGATATTCTCCAGCTTTATCCATTTACCAGCAAATGCCATAATTTTATTCTTCTTTAAGGTAGAGTAATATTCCATTGTGCATATATACCACATTTTCTTTATCCATTCATCTGTTGAATGACACCTAGGTTGATTCCATAGTTCAGCTATTGCAAGTTGAGTTGCTGTAAACATTGATGTGGCAGTGTCACTGTAATATGCTGTTTTTAAGTYCTTTGGGTATGCATTTGTCTTCTRAATATAGACATAATGATTCAAGATTATTATCTGATTTACTTCATATTCTAGCTTCGTGGCAAGTCTAAACAAATTCAGAAACATTTATCAATATGGCAACTTACACTTCTATTTTCAAACATACTTTTCCCAGAATAATCTTAGCTAAGATTTTAACAAAGGGTATTTTATATATTTTGTATTTATCTCATCTACATCCTTTATCATATCCTGATACACTATCATAGCTCTAAATAATTTGCATCCAATGGAACTTTCTGTGACAATAAAAATATTTTATCATCTCATGCTGTCCAATATAGTAAGCTAGAGCCACATGTGGCTACTGAGCATATGAAATAAGGTACTGTGACTTTAGAACTTGATATTTTTTAAAATTTATTTATTTATTCTAATTTGTTATACATGACATCAGAATGCATTTCAATATGTAATACATTTATATAGAGCACAATTTTCATATCTCTGGTTGTACATAAAAGAGAGWCACACCATTCGTGTCTTCATAAATGTACTTAGGGTGATGATGTCCATCTCATTCCACCATCTTTCTTATCCCCATGCCCTCTCCCTCCCCCTCCCTCCCCTTTGCCCTATCTAAAGTTTCTCCATTTCTTGCATGCCACTCCCCCATACACATCCCCATTATGGATTGGCATCCACACATTAGAGAAAACATCCAGCCTTTGATTTTTTAGGATTAGCTAACTTCACTTAGTATGATATTCTCCAAGTCCATCCATTTACCTGCAAATGCCATGATTTTATTCTCTTTTAATGCTGAGTAATAGTCCATTGTGTATATATACCACAGTTTCTTTATCCATTCATCTATTGAAGGGAGAACTTATTGTTTAATGTATAATGTCTGATGTCTATTATACTGAACAACAATATAAACTATAGCTGTTACAAAATAAAACTCCTAAGAACATTTAAGATAATCTTACAAAGGACAGTTAAAAATATTTTTAAAAGATTGGTGAATCTTTCAAGAAGTACAGAAATATCCCCYAAAGGATAAATGTTATTCCTATTTTCTCAAAAAGAATATAARATAAAATTAATAAAGGAAAGAACTTGATTTTAATTGTCCAAAGTCAGAAACTTGAAATTAAGTGTGACTCTCAGGTGACTATTTTGTGTAATTTTGTTTGTTTTTGTCATTGAGGAAGTTCAATGAACTGTAGATTGTTAAGTATTCCTTCTTCCTTATTATCTTAGTTTCCCTAGACTATACAAGCACAGAACATTATTCTATAAGTAATGGTAAGAAATAGCTTGCAACTTTACATGTTTTCTCTGTGAAAATGAGAAACAAGATGGTATTTGGGGTGGGGGTGGTGAATCCAGCCCTAAATTATGTAACCTTGTTGCTACTGCAGCCTAGACCAAAAAGGATTATAAAGTAGTTGTAGATCACAGAACTATAGTGGATATTTGCCCAATGCCCTTTGGGTCCAAGTGTTTATATTCCCACTTAAGGGACACATGGCACTCAAATTGTGTCCGGGTGTTGCAAAGGTTTGCATTTTACACCAATATATGGATTTGGCACTTGTATGGATAATGTTAAAAAACATGATAGAAGTAAAGACTATTGATACACCCTCCTGCTTGTTCAAATTTGTAAGCTCAATATCAATCATTCTTTGACTGAATTATAAATCTCAACGGTTCTTGCTGAACAATGGTAAATAAAAACTTAAGGGCCAGAGAAGCAGTATATCACTATGCATACTTAATTCTCTGGTCTCAAACATAGTAAATGTTGCCCTAAAAATTCCTGCTAACAAATATGTGGATGTAAGTCTGGAACAGTTGAGTTTTCTGAATTTTGGAAAATGTTTTTTCAAAATAAATATTTTTATTTAGTTTTAAGAAAACTACACAGACACATTCCTTCAACTAGGATTTAAGTTAAGATAATGTATCACTGTTTCTGCAAAGCCTGCTACTTCTGTGGGAATCCTGGAAAAATATCAACTGATATGCTTTATACCCAATTCTTCCACAATTGGGTGGTGGAAACAATATTCCTCTATACATGGAAAACAGTACTTCTAAACTATTTCTTTTCATCATAATCTCCATGGATATCCTTAGACATTTTTCCTTAATTTTCATTCCCCATTCCTGTCCAAATTTTAGTAATACAATTATGCCATGTATCTATCTGATTATGTACTATAGTTGTTGGGAGAACAAGTCAGTGAAATAATGAAAATTTTTTCCCCCTAAGAATCAGTGTCATCCATGAGGATATTAATTATGTTGCCAATACCTAGTGTAGAGTAAGTTGAGAAAAATAACTGAATGTGTAAGGAGTGTATACAGGATGTTCCAGCCTATAACAAACTGTGTTTGGAGACAGTTGGAGGCAGTTTCAATTTAGGATCTTTAAGATGAAAGCATCCCCTTCTATGATTAGAAGAGACAGAAGATAGAAATAAAGACTATATTACTTACAAGTCCTTGGGGAGGATATCACATGCTCTGGAGGTCACATGTAGAAGTCAAGCAGCACATGAAGAGAAGAAAGGAGGGAAAGGGAGAGGGAAAGGAGAAGAAAAGGGAGTGAAGGGTGAGAGAGAGGGAGAGTTAGTTGAGTTCATAGTGTTATCCAAACAGGCTTCCTTGGGAGTTTTAATTGGTGGGTTTAAAGCAAGAAAACACAAATTCCATGGAGTCACACTGTGAGAGAGAGGTGGTCACTGCAGCATATGTGCACAATCCATATGGGGTGGGGTGAGAGTTAACAGGGCCAGTCAAGTAGGTAGGTTGTACCTAGATGTCCCATAGGAAGGTGGTCAACCAAGAGGCAATTACAAAAGGCAGTTATCTGGATTGACTACATTGAGGAAATGRGAGGAGGTATAGAACTGGAAACTGTGTCCTAGATGAATAAATCCTGCTTCTGATATGAGAAAGTTAAATATACTCAAAATGGATGCTGGGGCAAAAATTAAAGTTGTAAGAATTGGCTACATCCTTCTAATACTCACACCCTACAAAATACACTGTTGAGGTCCCAGGTACATTCTCTGTCATACATCTCATTTTGGCCCAATATCATCTCTGTTCTTAAAAGAGAAGGAGACATTCAAACACTCTTGACTGACTAGTGCTTTTATGGTATAAGCTAAGCATAGAAATATAAAAAATCTAGAATTTGAAGGAATGGAAGCCAGGGAGAACTTAAAATATTTTTAATGTTTTTTAATTATAAGAAGATTTCCAATGTAGATTAAATTACTGGCTAGTTAAAAAACACAAATTAGCTAGAAACATAAATAACATACCTAATTGAATCTACAGGGTCAGTAGTAATATCCCCTCTTTCAAAACTAATTTTAGTGATTTGTATCAGTCTATATAGTTTATCAATTTCACTCATGTTTAATTTCATGGGTTTTTTTGTATATTTTTTCTTTCTTCATATCAACAATTTTTGCTCAGATCCATATTATTTACTTCCTCCTGTGCACTTTGGGTTGTATTTYCTCATTTAGCATTTTTCTTATTTCCCAAGGTAGAAGCTTATTTATCTTTTTCTTTTCTGATATAATCATTGTATGCTTCCATCTGAGAATTTCTTTAATTATATCACACTCAGCACAAAATGTTTTATACTTTCTTTTAACATATTTTATTTGACTCATGGGTTCTATATGGTGTGTTTATTTCCAAATATTTGGCAATTTTCAACTTGATTTTTATTTCTAATTTCTCTGTGGTCATAGAACATACTCTACATTATTTTYGTCCTTTTAAGCTTATTGAGTATAGTTTTATGGCTTAACATCTAATCTATCTTGGGAGAATGTTCAGGTATGTTTGAAAATAAATTGTATTCTGCTAATGTTGGATAGAGTGTTTCAATATATCTATATCCAGTATATATCTTATATCTTTAGATGTCTCTCCCTTTCTCTCTCGCTCACCCTCTCTCTGTGTCTCTCTCTCTTACACACACACACACACACACACACACACACACACACACAATCATGAGTGACCCAGATTCCATTGCTGCCCAGTACAGTGTCCTGTGGGGTATTACATAATACCTACAAAAATCATATAATATCAATATTTCATGGATAAAATATCACTAACATGAGAATTCCCACTGGCCCCCCAAGACAGGATGGCAGAAATCATTTCCCACAAATTTCTTTATTTCACATCTCATGGTGAAARAATGGATTTTAATGTAAGGCCCTGTACTTTGTCCTTGTTGACCTGTAGGAATAAAAACAATGAAAGAGAGAGGTATAGAAGCATACATGTTCATTGGTCTATGAGGCACAGTAGGGTTCAGTTATATATTGCATTTTAAATTAGCTAATGTAGTACTCTTCTAGAATGGGTACTATGGTCATTGTATTAGCTTCCAACCTCTATCAGGGAACATTGTGCCCAATACTTTCTGCCAGACAAATGTGCAATCAGACTAAATGAATATACTTAGACTACAAAAAATGGTGAACTGGTGAACAGCATATCAATTTAATTCAACCATAGAATCATTTAACCTTCAAAGGTGATTCAATGGATTGGGAAGAAGGTAGTCATGAAAAGCTATGGCAGGGAAAAGAAGGAACAACTGTCTAAATATGGATTGTAGCATTTAACATGTTTGAGTACAGAAACCTGGAAATTTGCAGAGGCTGCCCAAGGTTATGTATGTTGCACCCCATTCAGTTTAGAGTGGTCAGAGCAATGCCGGGAGGACACACCCAGGTAAAGTATATACATGTGATTAGAATGGTTGTGTAGCATGCATAGAGTGAACAATGGAGACACTGGGCCCTCTCACTGTGAGATACTCCCCATCCTCCTTTCAGAGTAAAGCTCACCAGGCCCACAGCTTCAGACTCAGTGGAACCTAGGCAATTATATCTCTCAAGCTTCCCTCTGCCACACCAGTAAGGAAGAGCATCTCCGTCACTCTCCATGCCTAGTTTCCAGAGAAGGAATCATCAGGAAGATTGAGAATGTGCCAAAATTCTAGAAAAGAACAAATAGAAATCTCAGAGTACTCATCAGATGATAAAGGCCTTCCAATGTCTGAATTAACAGATTGTAAACAKCACCAATTAAATTCCAGATTTTTTAAATTTATATATGACAGAAGAATGCATTATAATTCTTATTATACATATAGAGCACAATTTTTCATATCTCTGATTGTATTCAAAATATATTCACACCAATTCGTGTCTTCATACATGTACTTTGGATAATAATGTCTATTACATTCCACCAACATTTCTAACCCCATGCCCCCTCCTTTCCCCTCCAACCCCTTTGCCCTATCTATAGTTTGTCTATTCCTCCCATGATCCTCCTCCCTACCCCACTATGAATAAGCCTCCTTATATCAGAGAAAATATTTGGCATTTGAGTTTTTGGGATTGGCTAACTTCACTCAGCATTATCTTCTCTAACTCCATACATTTACCTACAAGTGCCATGATTTTATTCTCTTATTGCTGAGTAATATTCCATTGTGTATATATGCCACATAACTCAAATTGGCACTATTTCCTGATGATATGATTCTATACCTAGAAGACCCTAAAAGTTCCATCAGAAAACTTCTAGAGCTAGTAAATGCATTCAGCAAAGTAGCAGGATATAAAATCAATACCCATAAATCAAATGCATTTCTGTATATCAGTGACAAATCCTTAGAAAAGGAAACTAGAAAAACTACCCCATTTGCAATAGCCTCAAAAAAACAAACAAACTTGGGAATCAATAAAAGAGGTGAAAGATATATATAATGAAAATTACAGAACCCTAAAGAAAGAAATCAAAGAAGACCTTAGAGGATGGAAAGATCTGTTAATTCAGACATTAGAAAGGCCTTTATCATCTACCTTTATCATCTACTGCTTAAAATCTGTTAATTCAGACATTGGAAGGCCTTTATTATCCACCTTACTCTTGGATAAGCAGAATTAATATTATCAAAATGACCATACTACCAAAAGCACTATACAGATTTAATGCAATTCTGATCAAAATTCCAGTGACATTCTTCATAGAAATAGAAAAAGCAGTCATGAAATTTATTTGGAAAAATAAGAGACCCAGAATAGCTAACACAATTCTTAGCAGGAAGAGTGAAGCAGGTGGCATCACTATACCAGATCTTAAACTATAYTACCRAATTCTTAATAATAAAACTAGTTAGGAAAGAACTATAAAAAATTAAATGTTAACTCAAGAGTGTGCCATTCTGTTCCTTCTCAAACAAGCTGGTAGAAATGACGAAATTAGCTCTTCATTAGTGTGACAGTAAGAGATTCATGCAATTCCAATTTTGAACCTACAAAACACAGGGGAAATAGAAAAGTGGAAAAAGGAAATCTTCCAAATTGAATGTTGATTTTTAAGGAATTGATTTCACATATATGTCTATATATCTATCTATATCTATCTATATCTATCTATCTATCTATCTATCTATCTATCTATCTATCTATCTATCATCTATACAATTGTATGACAAAAAAACAAGTCACTGTATTCCATGGAACAGAAAAGTGTGGAAAATCTTTTTTCTAAAACTTGCTCAAAGATTCACCAAAGTCCACTTTAGCATCCCTCATTAAAACTAGGGTCTTCCTCAAAGAGAACAGGAAATCCCCTGAAGGGTGTGAATATTAGCCAATAAAATTGGTATAAAACTTTAAGAAGTAGAATATAATAATTTTACAATTAAAACTATTTAAAGCAGTATCCACCGGAATCACTCAAGTATTTAGAAAACTGCTCTTTAAGAATGACAGAAAAAAAATCATCTGAACTTGTACATCTGGAATAGCAAGAAAATTTAAACACATTCTGAGACATTCCCATGATTAGAAATCACTCATTTTCCAGATACTCCTACCTAAAAACAATAGAGAAGACAAAAATATCTTTTGAACTGATCATTCAATAGACTTCTACAGACTGATCCTAATGGAAAATTGTAAATGTATAAATGGTTAAAGGCCAGGCACTACCATAATAACTCAGTGGAGTCTCACTAGTCATGTGCTAATTTCCCAGAGTTGGATTACTAAAAGGAGATAGACGTTAACTATCAAGTACTCACAAAATTTGCTGTGTAATCCACAATAGATATTTATAAAGAACTTTACAATCTATTTAACAGCTGCTCTCAYGTTAGCTTTCAAATATCCTAGACCCCATGGTCCCTACTGCCTGAATACCTGAAATCCCTCCCATATGTCTGTCTAACAGGATCCCCATGCTGGACCTCAGCTCACAGAAGTAGTTTGGTCACTCATTTTGTTCAGATTCCAACAAGATTCATTTTTGTAAGTGATCATTGGTCCAGGCACATTGAATAAGCCACCCTGAGTCTAAGGTATGTGGTAGGTACTGATTACCCAGGAGTTTGTCATTCTGGGACACACAGACCCACACTCTTCAACCATGGAGCTCTGCATCACAGTTAATGACCATTCCTTTGGCTGTCTATCATAGCCAGTGTCCAGTGTCATTAAAATACTGTGATTCCCCAAGAGGAATATCAAATATTCTCAGGATAAAATTCTTACCTTATGAGAATTCCAACTGGCTCCTGATGATGGGTTAGCAAAATTATTCTTAATACTTTGCTTCACATCAGCTCTCAAGAAGATTAAATAAACTCTTTAATATAAAATTCAGTTTTYGGTAGCATGCCAATCTGTGGCAACAATAAAAGTTTGGAAATGTGAAAAGCATAAAGCACACATTTTTTATTTGTCAAACATTCTTAACACAGGAGGATTATTTATAGGCCTTCATATAAAATAATTTTATATACCTCTATTAGGTTGTTTCTAACATCATTCAAAAGGGAGTCATAAAGAGCTGAAAGCCTGAGATGGTTCAGCAGTTAATTTGTAACTCACACTGTCTGAATTATCAGACACTTTACAAAACAAATTACCTATTGAATTATATAAATAAGCAAAAAAGTATATTTATTAAAAATTAGATATTACCTTTGGAATGTAAAGTTTTGTTCTGTCCCAAAAATGGAACAGATAAGAATGACAAATTAGCCCTTCTTTGGGATGATGATAATTCCATGCAATTCCCAAAACACTTCCAGTCTATAAAACACAAAGGAAATGAAGGAAGTCTTAAAATCTTTCCAATGGATTGATTCCTGAGAACAGTTTAAAATAAATTAGCTACAGATATTCATTTGAACATCTACACAACTAGACCAGTAAAATTATATTCATTCCCTAGAACAGGGTAGAATAGAAAAACAACTTTTCAAAGATGTCAGAGTTGACCCAAAGACTTTTGTGAGCCTTTACTATTGTTAACTAAATTGAGAATCACTCTTTAAACACACACAGACTCACTGAAGGAATATGAGTATGAGCTGTTGGTATTCTAAATAATTCCAAATTTAGAAATTTAACAATATAATTTAAAAAATGTTTGATCAAACATATAATTTAAATCATATGGAATATTTAGAAGATTGCCTGCTGAATGGTGGGAAAATAAAAAGAAATGAAACAATGTTCTAACCCTTGGAAAAATGTTTAAAAATTAACTAAAATACATCATAAAATAAACTCTTGAATATAACTTATTCTTCAATTTCCACATATTTATTTTAGTTAAGAAACATAATGAGCGAAGACTAATAATTTCTTCCTAATTTTCTATACATAAACCTGTGCATTATTGAACCTTACTAAGATGACTGTGGTATCTAAGAAAATGATGTGCACAATAGCTAAAAAATGGAAATAAGCTAGGTGCCCATCAACTGATGAATAAAGAAAACGTGGCACATGGGGGCGGATCCAAGATGGTGGAGTAGAGGAGATACCATTTCTGGCTGCTCTGTGCATGAATCCGAGAAAGCTATGAGGTGGCTTCTCYACGGGGTCTCACCTTGTCAGAATACAACACCTTAGAGTGTGACAGGACCTCATACAGCAGATTTTTGCAGAATCCACCAAAACTGTGAACACCGAGCAGAACTCAGAGCCTCTGTATTCCTTTAAGACTCCAGTCTYTGGTCCCAAAGCCCACAATTTGAGCACATGTGCGACTCTTAAGCTGCAGAACAGAAACATCAAATCAGCACCTCTGCAGAGTGGCAGAACTCCAGACTATGCTCTGCTCCCATGCASGTCACCAGACAACATTCTAGCCACAGCAGGAGGACTTTCCAGCTCTCCCCACCTCACCAGACACCCTGATGTGGAAAACAGATGAACTCTATCTTGAAAAACCTTTCTTGCTATCTTTTGGTAGGTGTGGCTACCAGCATGGTTCTGCCACTGAACAGGTTCCTGGTTTCCAACTTCCCCTCCCCACGACTGTGATAACTTGGCACAATAACTATCAGCACAAAATTAGCTCTCAGTTGAATAGAGCTCAGTGCAACCAGGGCGGTGCTTACCTKGTACAATCCAATGGGGACAGCAAGAGGTCCCACAGCTGAGATCTGATAAGCAAGAGAGTGGAGGGGTAAAAACTGGGAGCAACGCAGATAGAGCAGATAGATCAAGATTAGGGAAGCTCCAGGCAAGAGACTGAGAGCTCTAATCTTCTCGCACTGGTTACCAACACCAAACTGAGGGAAGAGACTCAAGCTTGGAAGAGAAGAGAAGAGAAGAGAAGAGAAGAGAAGAGAAGAGAAGAGAAGAGAAGAGAAGAGAAGAGAAGAAAACTAAATTCTTAGAGGATTTTGTTGTTTGTTTGTTTGTTTTCTTCTCTTCCATTTTATATTCTTCCTTTTTCCTCTACCCTTCCTCCTCAGGTCCTCACAACCCCAAAATATGTGAAACCAAGAAGATTGCATGAAATAGAACTTTAAGAACTGCGTCACCAAAATAATATAATACAGAGGAATTGCATAAGTCCCCCCTTTTTTCTTTCTCTCTCTCTTTTTCCCTTTCTTTTAATTTTAATCCCTCCCTCTCTTCCTCTTTCAACCTCCTAATTTTTACTTACTTCCAAATGCTTTATAAATACATATATGTGTTTCTTTTATACATTCTACTGTCCTCCAACATACTTGTATACCTTAAATTACCTCCTGTCTATTCACCAGGTACTACCCTCTTGATAAGAGTTCTCCTCCAAATTTCTTAAGTTATATTAAGCCCATACCTTCACATCTTTCTCCCTTAACATAACATCATAACCTGACCCCAGTTCTCTGTCCACAACCACAAACGGTACATCTTTTATGAAACTACTCATTATACATTAAATAATAATTGAGTCCAACATTTCTAGACATTGAGACTAACTATAAATGTCTTAATAAAAATAATTTACTCTAAGGTGATATATTGTTGATATTGGRAATGGTCAACATTGCCCTTCCCCACAAAGGAGGGATCTTGGAAGTATACAAGAGCACCACAAATCCTTAGGGTAAAAACAATATCACAACAGTCCCACAGAATAGGAAAGAAATGTGAGCAACATGAAAACACAAGGGAAGAAAGTACCACAAACAATTCAAGACAACACATCATTAAAAGAACTTACAGAAACAGCATAACAAATGACAGACAAAGAGTTCAGGATTTACATGAACARATGTTTTGGAATCTCAAAGAAGACATTAGACAGCAAATACAGACAGTGAAAGACCACTTTGACAATGAGCTACATAAACAAATYCAAGAAGCAAAAGATCACCTCTACAGGTAGATAGAGGTTATTAAAACAAGACAAAACAAAACAAAACCAGAAATCCTTGACATGAAAGGAATAACAAACCAAATTAAAAACACAAATGAGAGCATTACCAGCAGAGTACACAACTCAGAAGATAGGACTTCAGACAACGAAGACAAAGTATATCATCTTGAAATGAATGCAGATATCATAGTGAAAATGATAAGAAACCAAGAGCAGAACATCCAAGAAATATGGGATAGCATAAAAAGACCAAATTTAATAGTTATTGGGATAGAGGAAAGCTCTGTAGAGGTCAAAACCAAAGGAATGAACAATCTGTTTAATGAAATAATATCTGAAAACTTTCCAGACATGAAGAATGAAACGGAAATCCAAATCCCTGAAGTCTACAGAACGCCAAATGCGCAAAATCACAACAGATCCACACCAAGACACATTATAATGAAAATGCCCAACATACAGAATAAGGGGAGAATTTTAAAAGCCACAAGACAAAGGAATCAGATTACATATAGGGGTAAGCCAATTAGGATAATGGCAGATTTTTCAACACGGACCCTGAAAGCTCGAAGATCCTGGAACGACATATTTCAAACTCTGAAAGATAATGGGTTCCAACCAAGAATCTTGTATCCAGCAAAACTAAGCTTCAGATTTGAARATGAAATAAAAACCTTCCATGATGAACAAAAGTTCAAAGAACTTACAGCTAGAAAACTGGCGCTACAAACATTCTTGGCAAATTATTTCATGAAGAGGAAATGAAAAACAACAATGAAAAACAGCAGAGGGAGGTAGTACACTGAAAGAAAAGCTGATCAAAGAGGAAAACCAAGTCAAGTTAAGTAACAAAAATAAGCAAACATGGCTGGAAATACAAACTATGTCTCAATAGTAAACCTAAATGGTAATGGCTTAAAATCACCAATCAAAAGACACAGGCTAGCAGAATGGATTATAAAAAAGACCCAAAAATATGCTGCCTACAGGAGACTCATCTGATAGGAAAAGACATACACAGACTGAAGGTGAAAGGTTGGGAAAAACCATACCACTCACATGGACTGTGGAAGCAAGAAGGGGTTTCTATACTCATATCAAATAAAGTAGACTGCAAGCCAAAGTTAAYCAAAAGGGATAAAGATGGACATCATATACTGCTCAAGGGAACCATACACCAACAAGACATAACAGTCATTAATATATATATGCCAAACAATGGTTATAGGTATGTTCATCAAACTCTTCTCAAATTCAAGTGTGAAACTGACCACAACACAATAATCTTGGGTGACTTTAACACCCCTCTCTCATCACTGGACAGATCTTCCAAACAAAAGTTGAATAGAGAAACTATAGAGCTCAATAACACAAGTAATAACTTAAACTTCACTGACATATATAGAATGTATCAACCAGCATCAAGTGGATACATATACTTTCTTCTCAGCAGCACATGGATGCTTCTCAAAAACAGACCATATAATATGCCATAGGGCAACTCTTAGAAAATACAAAGGAGTAGAGATACTACCAGGCATTTTATCCCATCATAAAGGAATGAAATTGGAAATCAACGACAAAATAAAAAAAAATTCTGCATCACATGGAGACTGAACAATAGCTATTGAATGAACAATGGGTTACAGAAGACATCAAGGAGGAGATTAAAAAATTCCTAGAGGTAAATGAGAACACAGACACAACATATCGAACTCTCTGGGACACTATGAAAGCAGTGCTAAGAGAAAAATTCATTGCATGGAGTTCATTCCTTAAAAGAAGAAAAAGTCAACAAATAAATGACTTCACATTACATTTCAAACCCCTAGAAAAATCAGCAGCAAAAGGAGTAGAAGGCAAGAAATAATTAAAATCAGAGCTGAATCAATGAAATCGAAACAAAAGAAACAACCAAAAACATAGACAAACTAAAAGGTGTTTCTTTGAAAAAATAAACAAAATTGACAGACCCTTAGCCATGCTAAT